CTCAAAAGGCTATAGGGTATACAACACAGAAACTCTGATTGTTGAAGAATCAATCAAAGTCAGATTTCATGATAAGCTTGGCCAGCAAAAGCCAAAGCAAAATGAAAATTCTGCAGGTACAGAAGATCATCTTACACACTCTAAAGAGTCAGAAGCAAAAGACAACTCAGAAGATCCTCCTATTGAAAATGCTCTGGAAAATCTAAGAATTTCTGAACAATCCTCACAAAATAAATTCCCCAGAATCACATTAGCACATCCAGAAAATGTGATTATAGGAAAGAAAGAAGATCCCATCAGAACAAGATCCTCCTTCGGAAACAATGAAGAATCACTGTTTGGATTGGTCTCTCTGATTGAGCCAACTTCAATAGAGGAAGCTCTGCAAGATAATGATTGGATCCTAGCTATGCAAGAAGAATTAAATCAATTTTCAAGAAATGATGTGTGGGATCTTGTCCCAAAACCTAAAGGATTTAATATCATTGGAACTAAATGGGTCTTCAGAAACAAGTTAAATGATCAAGGAGAGGTTGTCAGAAACAAAGCACGACTGGTTGCTCAGGGTTATAGTCAACAAGAAGGAATTGATTATAATGAAACCTTTGCCCCAATATCCAGGTTAGAATCAACTAGATTGTTAATTTCTTTTGTTGTTCAACATAACATCTCATTATATCAAATGGATTTTAAAAGTGCCTTTTTAAATGGTTACATAGAAGAAGAAGTTTATGTCCACCAACCTTCGGGTTTTGATGACTCAAAATTTCCAGAACATGTTTTCAAACTGAAAAAGTCTTTGTACGGTCTGAAACAAGCTCCCAGAGCTTGGTATGAATGTCTGAGTAATTTTCTTTTAGAAAAGAATTTTACCAGAGGCAAAGTGGACACAACTTTATTCAGAAAAACATTTAAAAATGACATTTTAATCTGTCAAATATATGTTGATGATATTATTTTTGGAACTTCTAATGTCTCTCTTGGAAGAGAATTTGCTGAGTCTATGCAGGCTGAATTTGAGATGAGCATGATGGGAGAACTAAAATTCTTTCTGGGAATTCAAATAAATCAGACTCCAGAAGGTACTTACATACATCAGACAAAGTATGTTAAAGAACTTCTGTAGAAATTCCAGCTATCAGAAAGTAAAGAAGCAAAGACCCCAATGCATCCTACATGCATTCTGGGAAAAGACGAGGTAAGTAAGAAGGTAAATCAAAAACTCTACATAGGTATGATTGGATCTCTTCTCTATCTAACTGCATCTAGACCAGATATATTGTTCAGTGTGTGCTTATGTGCTAGATTCCAATCAGATCCTAGAGAATCTCACTTAACTATTGTTAAGTGAATTCTGAGGTATCTGAAAGGTACTACTAACCTTGGACTATGTTACAGAAGATCCAAAGATTTTAAATTAGTAGGTTATTTTGATGTTGACTTTGCTGGAGATAGAATAGAATGCAAAAGCACCTCTGGAAGCTGTCAGTTTATGGGTGATAACGTCATCTCATGGTACAGCAAGAAGCAAGCCACTATTGCACTATCAACCACTGAAGCTGAATACATATATGTTGTTGGATGTAGCACTCAGATGATCTGGATGAAGAGCCAGTTGGAAGATTATCATCTATATGAAAGTAAGATTCCTATCTTCTGTGATAATACCTCTGCTATTTGTCTTTCAAAAAATCCCATCCTACATTCTAAGGCAAAACATATAGAAATTAAACATCATTTCTTAAGGGACTATATTCAGAAGGGAATTTTAAACTTAAATTTTGTAGACACAGACCATCAATGGGCTGACATTTTTACTAAACCCCTTGGTGAAGATACATTCAAATTCATTCTGAAAAACATCAGCATGTAATTTTGTCCTGAATGAAAATATTTTTTTTCTATATGTGTTTCTAGAATGTTCTTAAATGAATGTTTTGATTGACTGCTCTTCAGAAGTTAGAAGAGGAGTTACATCAGAAGCCATTCATCATGCTCTGAAATGTGTCAAACGTTTCATTACTAGAATGGTTAGAAGTTCATTATATTAAACCAGTTGTCTCACGCTACCCTCAGAAGTTGAACGCGTGTTTCAATTCTAAAAGGCCACGCATGCGTGCACTGCTATTTAGACGCTGTTCCTAGGTAATTGTTCAGATTTGATCAAAATCATGCATCCCCTTAATGTCAAATCTCATGAATTGTCTGTAATTATTATGTTTTTAAATCGTTCTAAATTATTTAACTGCTCATTAACTTTAAAAAAATTTAGCTATAAATATCCTTGCAAAATCCCTGTTCTATTTTTTACTCTCTTTCTCAAACTTCAATCGCCTCTGTGTTTTTGTGCAAACTCTCTCAACTCCCTTCTCAAAATTCTAAACCTAAACGTTCAAATGGCTTCATCTTCATCTCCTTCCTCAAGCATTCATGTGTCCTCAAGCAGCGCTCAACAAGCAGAAAGGTATGTCACTCCTGAGAGAACAACGCTGATACATGTGGATAGCTTGGAAGTGGTGGCTGAACTTATGGTTGATTTTGATAATCTGAAGGAAAATGGGTTTGACTTGTTCCCAGATGTGGAGTTCCAATGTTGGAAAAACTTCTTTGATCGTATTGTTGGACCAGTATTCCCTCATCTAGTTAAGGAATTCTGGAGTCATGCTATTGCTTCCCCAAAAGTCATCCTTTCGTTTGTCATGGGTAAAGAAATTTCCATTACTGAGAATATCATCAGGAAGCTTCTAGGTTTTGAAGGAAATGGCGTTACTGGAATCTCTAGTGGACGAATGGATATGTCCAAGGTTTATGCTGAAATATTTACTACTGGGGAAGCTTCAAACAAGGTCAGAGACTTGAAGAACTATTATAAAATCTGGGCAAGAATCATCCATGGCTGCATTCATCACAGGAAGGAAACTAGTTCTCCTGACTACATTAATACTGACCAACAATACCTTCTGCTCTATCTTGCTCGGAACCGGCCATGTCGTTATTAATGCCAGCATCGTTGTCGTTAACGTTGTTGTTGTCAGCATCGGTGCAATGGACGTTTTGGTTATCGTTGACAGCTTGGTCGACCATGACAATCGAAAGGTTGATAAAGAGTTGCTTTGGTCTTGAATGGAATACGGGGAAGATGAATTCCCACAGACAGCGCCACTGATCGTATCTGATCATAAGAGATTATCAAGGTCTACGAGCTTTGAGTCGAGCAGTGGTTGAATGTGAAGTAGGAGGTACCTGCAAGACACTTTGATACCAAAGTAAGGTTCAGAGTAAGTGCAAGTAAGTGTGTGAGTATGGGTGAACGAATGAATACCTGACCCTCTCAAGTGAGGATATTTATAACCTCCAGCACTGGACCAAGGTGTTTAGTGATGGGCCACGATGAGGTCCAACAACGAAGACTGTCAGGATTTACGGGTGTATGGAGTCCAGCATGTGGCCTCCTCCCTGGTCAACTGTCCCGAGAAAGCAGAGAAGTTGGACCTGTTATTCTCGAAGGGAAAGATGATGACGATATGGACACATGAGTTACGTTCTCCTAGTGGACACGTGGAGAAATGTCCAACGGTCCTCAGTTTGGGCCGCACGCTTTTGGGCCTTTCTAAAGACGCTGGATGGAACCTCCCCAACAATGAGACAATTGTTGGCCAATCCAGAACACCAACATTACTTTAATTTTATTTTAAATTTAATTTATAATCATTCTAAAGTTGAATGATATTTTTTTAAATACATACAATTTTGTTGCTCTTATTTATTTCAAATATAGTTTTACTATATTTTTTATGTTTAGAAAAATAATTATAATATAAATTAAGTTACTTAAATCAAAATATATAAAAAATTATATATGTTAAAGCAAAATTTCTCCACTTTGTTTAAAAAATAAAGTTTATGTTATAAGTTTGCTCTAATTATTCGTATAAATTATACGAAAAATAAGGAGAAAAATTTGTTCTAACTTTTTAAAGAGTCATTTAATATATTAATGTTCTTAATGTATGTCTTGAATTCTTTCAATTTAAAAGATACATCTTTCATTTTATTTCGTTTTAAATAAATTATTATTTTAATTTGGGATGATTTTTTAAAAAATATAATAAAGTTTTTTAAAAAGTTTAAAGTCTAAATGATTTATTCTAAATAGAAATTATTATTGTAATTTATAATTTATTTCTAATATGTTATTTTGATAAATGATTATTTTAAAAAATTAATAATAATTAGAGATTTTAATTTCAAATGGTTTGTTTAATTCGAATATGCATATTTGAAAATCTTCTGAAAATAAAACATAAGAGTCTAATATACGTATTCGAAAATCCCTTAAAATAAAATATTGAATTCGTTTAGATATTCATATCAAAATTGAAGACCCCTAAAAAAAGAGGTGTACTAAGATATTCCCATTAATCAATCATGTTTAATGAATCGTACTAGTGTGGAAGATGTTTAGAGTATATTCTTGTTCATGGATGAGATGAGCCTAAAACACACTTCAGCGTGGAAAGTTTCTTTTCCACACCTCCAATGATTTCTAAAAAAATTACACAGGCACAAAAAATGGTTACTTTGAAGAAAAAAAGCTCCATTCAACATGACGTAGCACTGAAATCCATATGGCTCAATCTAATGTGTGGTTGCCACCATGACAATTTGATTCAATCATCTACACAGATGCAAATAAAGAAACAAAAATGATATAGTTTCTTATTCTCAACAACATCAGCAAAACTCATCATGGTTGAAGTCTATTTAAGAAAGTCCCGAAACTACTCTAAATGGATTAATCAAACTGCAATAGGCATTGTTATGTACAACCCAAATGCTAATCATAATAGTAATAATAATAATAATAATAATCATAACTAACATGACCCCAAAAAATAATATAATTATTGCATTGCCTTTTTTTTCATCACTTCTTCCACAATTTTCATGACTTCCTCTCTTCTCAAATGTAGTAAATATATAGAAAAACTAGAAACTTGTTAATATGTTCTAATAACTGGACCCTTGTATAGTCCTCTTCTTATTGCAAACTCCTCAGAAGGTTGAAACTCTTCAAGCCATGTCACATCAGAAAATGTAACTCCATCAACCTCAACATTACCTGCAATGAATCCGTAACAAACGCGCTCAAAATAGAACACAACATTTACAAGTGAAAGTTTGGCCAAAGGAAGAAAAAGAGATTACCTGGAAGATTATTCCTTTGGGATTGTTGGAAGTAAGAGCAGTGTCGTTCATGTTCTGGAGAATAAGGTGGAGATAATATGTCGAAGATTGCGCAAGGAGTGATGGCCTTGAAACAATGAATGTTTCCTCCGACGGTAGGATAAAGAACTGTTGTTAAAGTCGGTGCTGTCATGTCTTTATCTTTCACAAGCTTTGCAGCTCTAGCTGTCGATAACAAATTGGTTTAAGACCAATAAACTCAAGTTATTAATCATAATCAACTCCTAAATGATGAAGAGAAAAGAGATGGGAAGTTGAAGAAGGACAAAAATCAGATGGCCGTATAGATGTAGCCCGACACTACATGTTGAAGGTGTGTCTGGTGTCTGACATGTGTTGGTGTCAAACACAAAACACAACACCGACACATCAGTTACATTCTATCACTTCAATTTTTTTCAAATTGTTATCAATGTCTACATGTGAGTGCTTCATATAGCATTTACAAAAGGAGATATGTAATGGAAAAGAAGATATCACAAACAAGTGTTATATTCTATGAGATGATAAAAATTACTATCATAGGGTTAAACAACTAAATAAATTTTAAACAAATTAATCAAAAGGTTGATAACTACTTGAAATTCCGCTTTCGTTGTGGTCCGGCCTTAGTCTTCGTTGCAGCCTCCAACACCTACATTGTGTTGGGTTTGAAGGGGTGGATTTAGTTCCATGTTGTGTTTATAAGGGTAATCCTCACCTTACAAGCCGATTTTGTAAGGTTAAGTTAGGCCCAGCCCACATTTTAAGATGGTACTAGAGCCTAGTTTAAAATCCATTTGACCACCTGCTATCAGGTTTCCTCTATCAGGTCACCCACCATTTATATTCGCGCTTCAGATGTCCAGTTAGCGTGAGGGGATGTGTTAACAGTCTCGCTGCCTTATTAACAGTGGGTATACAATGGAGAGATTATCAAGATCCAAAGGGAAGAAGCATGGCACTGGCAGCCATAGAGGGAAAACGTAGTCGTGAGATTCTTGATGTAAAATTGATCTCAGTTGTGAGGGATTCGACCTCATAAGGTTGTAAGAAACCTTGTGACGCAAAATAATAACAAATCGAATTTCTTCTTACTTTCTCATTGTGCCAATTCTCTGTTTTTCTTTCCTTCTCCGACATTTTCTTGGGTTCCTGAGATAGGAACCTAACACTCCGAAAGAGTAAGCTGGACAGCTGTGTGAGGGGTGAAGTTAGGAAGAATTAGTTTTTCCCAAGCATGTCTAATGACAAACTATTTAAACCTAAATTCTTGTTGCTAACCCCCACCTAGGAGAAAAATCTCTTGAACGCTTTTAAGCAACAAGAACTTAGTGCATGTGGGATGAACATGGAAAGCAATCACAATTTTCCAATCCATGATATCTACCATAGTAGTCATTCCCGGATAGCGGCTGACCACAAAAGTGGGATAGCGGGCCAAGAACCGCTCCGGGCCGCTATTCCGCTATTTGCCCCATAGCGGCCGCTATAGGGTTTTGCGCCGCTAAGGCTCTACCCATAGTAGTCGGCCTATGCTCTGCTCTGCTATAGAGGGATATTGGCTGCTATTGAAAACTCTCTACCTTGATGATAACCGTATGTATGGACAATCAAGTTCAGATAGTGAAGAACCAAGAAACATTATGAAGAAGGTATTGATTTTAATGGATGGGATAGGAGACAAGGTGAGGGGCATACAATTGTCGGAGCTTCTTGTGTTGGGCCTAAAGTGGCCCATTTTTAGATTTGTTATACTCAAGCCCCTTTCAATAAGCAATTAGTCCGATTCAAGATAATCAAAAATCCTTTCGCATGGAGAAGAAGATTTCAAGATCTATTTAAAACCTAGTCGACGAGTTGTATTTTACTTTTGATTTTCGATAACTAAAATGTAATTTCCTTAGCGAATGTTTTTCGGGGTTTCAGCAGGTTATGATACTTTGCGCAGTTTAATGATAAAACAACTAAAGCATATGATAAAACCCTAAAAATAATGTTAAGACATGAATGATTCAATCTTTAAAAGGAAAAAAGCCTTTCTTTAAGGCTTTAACCAGAGCAAGAATCCAACCAATCAACTAAGAACTATCCATTTTAACTCCGCCGAGATCCAGTGTATCAATGGCGGATTATGGCGGCCAGCTAAATATCTGCCATATAAATCTAGTGTTGCAGCCTATGGTGGAAACATGGAGAATATAGTAGGTGTTGCATCCTATAGCGGCTCACACAAAATTCTCCATTCTACAACGCCATGTTGGAAGGAAATTCGACAACACCACTGAGATCATTAGCAGACTGTTTTAGAGAATGATTGTAATAAAATAGTGTTTTTTTCTTAAGATCAAAAATAAGGCATGACACGCCGTATTCAACACTTGATGCATTCTGATTCAGATACAGGGGACTAAAAATTGGATAAAGCATCATAAAAGTGCGGGAAAAAAACTATAAAGAACAAACCTTCAGTTGGATCAGCTGGGCCAGGGAAATCGATCCAGTCATAGGATTTAACATGCACCGTACCATATATGAGCTTGCTTAGGACCGTCATTCCAGGATGATTGTGGAGAGGAATGACAGATGAAGGGGGCATGCAAAAAATTCCAATCTGATAAAGATAAAAATTATTAATAAATTTCAGTGGTTGTTCCCACCATGGTTTCAAACTGCGGTTCGCAGCTGCAATTGCGTCCGTAATATAAAGGATTTTCTGAGATCTCTGCAAAAACATTGCATCGTAAATTTGACAGCCTCAGCCGTATTTTCCCGCAACATAAAGGTTTGTGGCGCAACCGCAATTTGAAACCATAGTTTCAAATTGGGGACCGCGTCACGTGTTGCGGCCACAACTTTGAGAGGAAATAGAAGATATGTGAGGCATAAGATAAGTAATTAAGTATTAAGATATAATATTTTATTTTATTAAAAAAAAAAATTCACACCACAATTCGCATCGCAACAGCCGCAATTGCAATTTGAAACCATGATTCCCATTAAAAAAAAATTTTAAAAACACGAATTTTAAGAACTATCATTGGATAAAAATGATGTGGAGTTCTAAAAATTGATACTTACAGAGAAGCTGTCACATTCATGTAAATGTAAGTATTTGATCGGCGGTGGTTGATGGTTCCCATTGGTCTCAGGCATTTGACCGTTCCAATTGCGAACCACTTGTGCCTCTTGCTCAAGACCTACATCTGATGGCTTCATTTTTTCTGGAACGTTATGTCAAATGTTATAACAGAAATTTCATTTGAACACAACGGAGCGAAGCGGAATGGAATATAACGGAGCGGAGCAGAATGGAATATAAATCCCACTCCATTGTTTGGTTATTTTATTTAAAATTTCTCATTCCATCCCATACACCCCAAATTGGATGGAACAAAAAATGGGAAATTGGATGGAATAGGATGGAATGCATTCCATCATGTTCCGCTCCATTCCATCCTCTTTTTACCAATCCAAACAAGGGAACGTAATATTATTCCATTCCATTCCGCTCCGCTCCGTCGTGTTCTATCAATCCAAACATAGCCTAAAGAAGCAATTAATATGTATCAAATAGATATGTGGTCTCAATTTTAAGCAAAAAGGTACTAAAAAAGTTTATCCATCCGAAAAGAAATATAAGCAAAAAGGTATTTAAAAAGTCGATGTATGTGGTCTCGATTTTAGACCACATATATCCATTTTTCAAATACCGTTTTTGCTAATATTTCATTCTAGAGAGCAATCTATCACATAGACCTATCTAGTATCAATATGTGATTGCAATTTTTACTCATCCGATTTGTGCCACGCCTAGTGAAACAAACCAATCCGTTACAAAACAAACTAGATTGGACAAACATAAAGTAAACAATGCTCAGTCAATGAGATCGCAAGGGAAAAGTCTATTTACGTGTTATACACGTAATTACCGAAATTGAATGTTTCACATACTTGAAATACAAAACAACAGAGTTGAAGATAAAAATAAACATGTATAACTAAACGACAAAAACAAATAAGTAAAACAATTAATATACCTAACTTCTCGCGAACTTTTGAAATGGCTTCTTCAGACACGGGTCCATTGGGTGAAAAAGACGTGTTGCATAGCCTATACAATCTTTGTATATAATATGGCATCTTGTAAACGCGTACGTAATAAGCTTATCTACTCAGCGTACGTAATAAGCTTATCTACTCAGAACAATGCCCCGGATTCAAAACAACTTGTAATCAGCTTATCAATTGCAATAGCGACTGGATATACAATTGGATAACAACGGTATTTTAGTCTCAGAATCAAACCAACTGTAACGAATCTGAAGAGTCGCAGATGTTCCCTCACAGGTAATCTATTTTATGGGCCTATTGAACAACAAAATAAAACCAATAACAATTCATCACAATTCACAACTCTATAATAGCAAATCACTACATGATCTAAATACATACATTCACAAACTCACAATTCATTCCAAAACAATAAGATTCAATTGCATTTTTCCCTAAAGTTTCTCTAAACACACATCTCAAAAACCAAAAACAACAATAAAAGAACCATTTTTACCAACAAATTAGCAAACCCCACAAGTTTTTCAAACCCAAAAATCAAATCTTTCATTATTTTTGCACATCCAATAAACAAAACACACACTACAAAATCGAATGTTATCATATTTCAACAACAAAACCCTCATTAATTTCCCCAAAAACAATCACAGACATAGAATATAGTCAATACACTGTTAAAAACTTAAAATAGGGAAAGATTCACAAACCAAAAATTCGAAAAATTGAGACTGACCCAATAAAATTATTGAGCTGAAAAACTGTATAAACACATAAAAATCAAAAATTGGACAAAAATCATAAATGGGCTATGAGATTCCAAAAAAAAAAAACATATAAAAAACGAACAAAAGGGTCCCAAAAAATGGTTGAAAGTTAGAGAAAAACCACACCTGTGAAACCCATCATTGAGATGAAGAAGAAGGTTAGATGAAGATTGAAGAGATTGAAGTAAGTAAGGGATCGAAACAAGGTAATAAAAACGAGGAACAGAAGGAGAAAATACAGAAGAAGGTGAAAAACATTAAAGATTATGGGCCCATATAGAATAGAAAATCTTTAACACGTCATCATAAAGTTTTTTAATCTTTTATTTTTGTTGTTTTATTAAATAATTACCATGTCTAAATTCTCTGTGATATTGTAAGATTTTTTACCTAAGAAGTTTTTTTAACTCCAGCTGTATCTTAGTTAGCTTAACTTCACTTGATCACACATTTTGTTCTTTTTTGTTAGGTGTATCTTGCAAGTGGGTTATTTTGTTTGCTTATAATATTAAAATTGAATTTGATAAGAGGAAGTTATAATAGGTTTGATTCTAGATGCATAATTTGAAAGCAATGCCAATACTTTTTATGGAGATTGATTAATGTATATGGATCTTTTATGCAATTTTTTTATATTGTTTTTTATACATGTTATTTTCTTTCTTCACTCTTTCTTTTCTTTTTTTTAACACGATCTCTCTTAGATTTAAATTTTTTATGTTAATTATTCAACAACTTTTTTTTTATGTATTTTTATGTTTATATATTTATCTCTCATCATTTTCCTCTTTCTCATTATCATCTCTTCATTTTTAATTTTTAGTTTCTCTCTTCTCACATTTACAAAACCATGGTTGTACTTATGTTGGACCGCATGTGATTCAAATTTTTCTTTTTTTACTCTTTTTAGCTCATATATTTGTTGTATAGTTAAACAATAAAATATATTTGTCAAATGTAACACATAAAATAGGAAAATTCTATTGTAGAAAAGGAAAATATATGGTCCATAGTGTTGTTGGAAATCTATCAATTATCTATGATGAATTTCTATCAATTTTAATGAACAAGATTGATATTATCACACAATGACAATGAATTGTGAGAAAAGAAAATAAAAGAAAGAAGACGATTATTTTCTACAGAGTTTCTCTCTGCCTACAAACTGTGAAAAACTTTATTAATCACTTGCGACTGCAAATTTTGTAATTACAATAAATTGACTTAATTACAAAATTAGGGGTTACTCCTTCTATTTATAGATTTAGGTTAGATTGCTCCTTAAGTCAAAGCCCAAAACTATAAAAGCTCAAAATATTTATTTTTATACTAAATCAAATCTATCTATTTTAGATCTAAATCAAGTTTATCTAAATCTAAAACCAATCAAATTTGTGTGTAGCTTGCTTCGATCCACAAGCTCTATGCAACCTCCCTTCGACACACACATTATTTCGACGGAAAAATTAACCTAAAAATTCTAAGAAGGGAAAAATTGAGACGAACAAGGGGACATATATTAAAGAAAAAGAGAAAGACTTAAGGTTTCAATATCTGAAACCCTAAGAACTTCAAACCACGTCGCTCTCATCCCCAAGCCTCCACTGTTATTGCCACAATCTTAGTACTTGCAAACAAAAGAAGGAGTAAGAGATTAGAACGAGGATTCAGGAAATCAAAATTATACGACCAGTATCACGACAGGAGAGGTAACACGAATCACTTAGATTTAGGGCTCTTAATTGTTGTTGTGATGTTTGCATGATTGATGTTTGAATATTGTGTTTCTGGAAATTTAGGATTTCTAGGGTTAGGCTTCTAACCTAGAGTTAGGATTCTTAGATCCTATGGTTAGGATTCTTAGGGTTGTTTGAAGATCGGGGTTAGGGTTCTTCATTGTTGAGTGTTCTAGGTTTTTGGATAATTAGGGTTCATCAAGAACCTTTAGGGTTCTTGGGGTTCTACGAACCCATATGAAGATCCACGGCGGTGGTCTTTGAATGTTTGAAGTTCCTGGTTGAGTGTCAATTGGAAAACTAGGAAAAATGGTGGTTGGTGGTGGTTCAAGGAAGACGGTGCGGCCAAGGCGATTTTCGGCCGCCTGAGTTTTAGGAGAGGTCAGAGCCTCTCTCTTTATGTTTTACAAAGAGTTTTGTTGTGTCGTTGTAGAGAGAGGAAGAGAAAGAAAAAATGGGCTCTCTGTCCATTAAATGGTTTTTATAACCCTCGATGATTCTATGTATGCGCTCCCATAAACCTTACCATGTGCTTCCCACTACAACTTTTAGATCATCAGCAAACGCTCCTGATTTGCACGCCCATTGTAACATCGTGCACTTGCCCGCATGAAGTCCAAACAGACTCCCAAATGTTTGTCAAACACTAGGCCTAGCCCATTGCTAATCGTGTCACCCCTGTTTTTTTTATTTTACTACTACGCTAGAAAATTGTACCTCTTAGCGCTATTGGGCCAAGTCCAACATCAGGACTTGGGTCCTTGCTGACCAAACCCCCACTTTTACTGACCTGAACAAATATTCAACCCCTTCTACGTTTGGGCTTGAATTTAGTATCTGAAAATTCAGGGCTCTACTTCTCATACCCTCTTGTTTTACTAGCTCGACACAAAATACACCCCCTTGTGTTTTTTTAGTTTTTTTATTTTTATTTTTTATTTATTTTTTATATTAAATTTAGTATTTTTATATTTAATATATTTAATTTCTAAAATACCTATTATTATTAAAAATCAAATATTATTTTTTTTCTAATTCATCTAATTATTTTTATTGTATTAAAATTATTTTTGTCATACATTAAAAACATTTTATTACATGTTAATACATTTAAAAAATACTTAACCAACACTAAACTCTTCCCTTTTTTAATAGCTTAATTAATTCTAAAACAATTTTCAAAAAGGATTATAAGGATGCTTTTAAATCAACTGCGAACTTCGTCTGACAACTCCGCTATTCATACACCTAGACTTAGTACAAGAGAAATTCAAAACATCTTCGTAATCCATAAAAAACATCAACCAACTGCGAACTACGAATTGGGACTCTGATTCCTCATAAGAGGATACATAGGTATACGATTAAAATCGTGGCGAGTTCCCCTAATAAAAATTAAAACCCTATTTCATAAAGATTGTGTTTCTAAATCCTAGTATGCTTGTGAATAAGATAGATGAGGGGTGCCTAACACCTTCCCTTCGTCTAAGATCGAGTCCAACAACTTAGAATCTTTGACTAAATTAGGGTTATCCTTTATATTCCCTTCTCAAAGATAAAAATTAAGGGTGGTGACTCTCAATTCAAAATCGGTTACAACACCTTCATGCAGGTGTACATTGATGACATTGTAGTCAAATTGCCCTCAGGAGCTGGTCATTTAGACCACCTTCGACAGTCTTTTGTTAGAATGAGGGAATATGGATTAAAAAAGAATCCATTAAAATGTGCTTTTTGTGTTCGTGCAATATACTTTCTAGGTTTTGTAGTACACAAGAAGGGTATAGAGATTAACCAGAACAAAACCAATGTGCTTTTGAGTACAAAAGCGCCAACGACAAAAAAAGAGCTCCAATCTTTGTTGGGAAAGATAAACTTTTTGAGAAGATTCGTATCAAACATGAGTGGAAAAACTTTGGCGTTCTCTTCTTTGCTAAAACTAAGCAAAGAATCATAGTTCACGTGGGAAAGAGAACACCAAGAGGCATTTGACCGACTAAAAGACTACTTGGTGAAGCCTCTAATGTTAGCACCCCTAAATAGAAACAAAGGCATGAAACTTTACATTGCAGCGTCAGAGTCAACATTGGGAAGTATGGCAGCCCAGGAAGATGAGAATGGAGTAGAAAGAGCCATTTATTACCTTGGTCGAGTGTTAAATGACGTTGAAACTAGATATAATGCAATTGAAAAACTATGTTTGTGTTTACATTTTTCATGTACTAAATTCAAGTATTATATAAAACCAGTTAAAGTTTCAGTTTATTCTCATTTTGATGCCATTAAGCATATGTTATCTAAACCTATCTTGCACAGTCGAATTGGGAAATGGGCGCTAGCATTAATTGAATACTCTTTAACATATGTTCCTTTAAAAGTAGTCAAAAGGAAAATTATTGCAGACTTTATAGTTGACCATTATGTGGTTGACATCAATGAAGCCTATATAAGAACTAAGTCTTGGCAATGTTATTTTAACGGTTCTAAACATAAACAAGAAACACGAGTGGGGATCTTAATTTTATCACCAGATGGAGTTCCAACTAGATTTCGTTATAAGATTAAAGGT